GCCGCACACTTTGACTTAGATCCAGAATCATAGAGACTTCCTGCATGATGACGTCGATGAGGACCGTGTAGACGGTGGTGCCATTGATTGCGAATCAGGTATTAACAGCAAACCAGCCTCGCGATCCTTCTAGCGTTTCAATTCAGTCGACAGGATGATAGCACTGACCATCACGATGGTTCACTTTTTCCAGTAATCGACTAGTATAACAAGCATTCAGCAGCAGTCTTACATACTAATTTTGAAAATAAAAATTGAGTCCTGTGGCACGCCTCCCCCTGTAGGAAATGATCAAACAGTCAGCCTCGTCAAACAATGCCACCGTGGAGGATATAGACTGCCTCTACGCCAACATTCACCTTTCACAACCAACACAGCCCAGCCGCGACTACGCTTAAAGTTATTCAGGCTTAAGGCAGCGCTTATACGAATAAATTCGATGAATGTTCCTTGAGCCGTGATGGCCAATGGCACGCATGCACAAGTTGAGAAATCCGTCTGAAAACCCGCAACGACCGTGCCCACCCTTTTGCTGCCATTCTTCAGTCATAAACAGTATCAGCTTCAGAAATTGACTAGTAACGATCACCGCAGGTGCATTATGGTGCAGCATCAAACACTTCCAACGAGTGCTCGCATTTACCGCTGTGACATGCAGCTCGTCCCAACCATCACCAACTAGACAGTGGTACTGATCGCTTTTGTGGAGCGAGTGTTTTGGATGCTGCTCCAACACCAGTCGCATCCTTCGTGTAGAAAGCGCCCCCATCATCGCCTCTTGGCAGCCGAGACTGTTCGTGTGAGTTCATATCGCTTCCGCGATGCGATTCTCTTCCGTAGCTACTGTCCATTCAAGGGCGAGTGGTGTACAGGCAAACCACTACCAACTGCGTACGGCCTCGAGGCATTGGATCACTACAAGCCCTGCCCCCAAGCGCCGAATCATCCATCTCCGAACAGGGTGAAGTTATACCATAGTTCTTTTCACAAGAATGCTGGGTTGTGAACAAAACTTTCGCCCCAGGCGGGACTAGAACCCGCACCTCTCGCTTTCCGGGCAAGTGCGCTACCAGTTACGCTACCGGGGCACCATTTCATTCCAACTCAGCTTTTCATGGTATACGTACCATAGCTTTCAGCACTCACACGTGTTACAATACCTGTTCAGGAATATAAATACCCTGCCTTGCGCATCAACTGGCCTCCGCAAGTCGGCGGTAGGCGATCGCATTCAAACTGCCGTACCGCTGCGATTCTGAAAGAAACTGTAGTAGAATTCAGCGCGACTCTCAAATAAGTGTTGTTCCAGCGTTAATTGTGTATCATTTTCTATATATTATCCAAGTGTTAGCGACAAAAAGCCCGCTGTTTCAATGACTGAACAAGTATAAGCAACATGCTCCTATCGCGTCAAAAAAAATCAGCTCGACTCTTTTGTCACAACTGTCAAACTTGCTCTCGAGCTGGTTTTTTCGGCCTGTCACATAAATAAATAAGGCCAAAAATGTATCCGATACCTAGCTACCATCTGTATCTTACCGTGAATGACGATTTTCACGTTTTCACCTAAAATGACCACCAATTGACTGACTCTGACCTTTAACAAAATCTACCGCTATATAACGAAATTAACTCACTATCTACGATCTTTAACAAAAGAGACAACTTGTAACAATCTCAAACCCAAAACAAAAAACATCGAAATTTAACCGAGCGCCGCCATGAATTCGATAGCACATAGAAATTTGTCAGAAATCAGCCAAAACTAGTTTGACCTCATTTATAGCAAATGAAGTCTGCGGTGATCTACAGTATTTTTCATCGTCTTGCAGCTGTCTTGACTAATCTATTTGTGACGCTCCAACGTTTGGATCCACTTCTCTAATGTACATACTGCCTTTCAAGTCTGTGTCTTGTTAATTCCTGCACAAGCCCTTCTATCTATGCGAATTACTGGCCACCATCTTGTTAGTGGCCTGTCCAAAGTCACACTCCATCTGGCTAACTCCCATGCATTCAATGCATTGCTGTTTCAAAGGCGAAGAGTCGAACGCTGTGCATACAAGAGAATCCTACCTTCCGCTACTTCTTTTGCATTCAGAATTTCAACAGTTGAGCTTGCGACACTGCTTGTCGATGATTCTCTGAAAGCTTGCAAATTGGCTGGCACTGAGAGCAGTTCTCTCACTTTGAGTCTGCTTCCAATCTCAAAAGCAATTCTCAAAGAATCCGCTAATTCCGTAGGGATTTCTCCTGAAAAGCTCCTGAAAATTAAAATTGAATGGAAACAAATAGACTGCAAGACAAGGACCTGATATCAACTACAGCGGAAAGGCTTGCATCGAGAGAAGATGGCGATGGCGAACTTACTTCGAAATTCACTTTAATAAAAGCAGAATTTGTAAAAATCTCAAGGTCGTGAACTGCAGTCGAGTTGTCAGTACTACATTCTATCCACTGAAGAGTTCCCAAGCTGAACACTTTATACTCAATCGAGCCATGTTTTCACCTCCCAGAATTGCCCTCACCACTTTGTTGGGAAACTTCAGCGAGGGTGAGCACTTTTCCTCTGAATAAGGACAAATCGAATTCTCTTCATTTCCTAGTTTTTCGTTCGCCACTTCGCCAGAGAAACATGCGACATATCTACATTTTTGCACACTGGCAAGCTTCACATGAGGTCCAGAAATATCTGTACGCCGGATAAACCAAGTACATGGCCACTTCATGAAATGAGGAAAGAAAGAGATAGATGAAGTGCCGAGTAAAGGAGGAATGCACGATAAGAACGAAGGTCAAAGAAGGGGAAAATTGCAGTTGGGAGACAGGCGGACCTCCTGAGGGTGCTGACCGACGCGCAATTGGCAGCGAAAGAGCATGGCTCACTCTTGGCGCGGTTGGCGGGGTACGCCCACCGACTATCTAATCACTCGCCGCAGGTCTATACGTGGCGAGTGATTAGATAGCAGAGAGAGCGTAGTGTTGAAGAGGGCACAGCGATGAGAGTCGCATCAATGCGCAAATCAACGGGCAAGGAAGGGGTCCCATTTCTCGGGTTTCGGGCCGTTTCAAATGCTTTCTTCTTCCAGGATCGACCTTCTTTTGATCTTGGCATATTTTGATCAGATGAGTGCTTGATTGTAGCCGTCCAAGATTAGTTAACTTTATTAGGCCAACGTTTCGGCAACTTCGCCTTCGTCAGAGCCTGAAAAAGTCAAGAACAAATGTGACTTGCCCTCTCAAACGCCTCCACAATACTGAAGACATTTCCATATCTTAGTAAACCACCTAACGGTATCGATCGATAAAGATTATGTCGATCGTATAAAGGTTAAGCTATTCATGCGCGAGGAGAATGGAAGTACTCGAAAGCCGTAGTAGTGAAGTACGGACAAAATTCGGCTGGCGACTTCATGGCCAGTTGTAGAGGGGACGCCCCTTTTTCATACATTGACCAAGCATTTTTAATTACAGCAGTATCACAAGCCCCTCTCCCCACGTCTGCCAAGCATTTTTCAATATGGGAGGAGGGGGGGGGGAGAGTGGGAGAGGCGAACTTTGCGAAAAAAGCAGCTCATTGGAAGTTGAAGAAGAGTTGGCCAGGGACGCACGGATGAAAAAAAGAAAAACTGGTAAGCGAGCAAAAGGACCATTTTGGTCTGCTGATTTCCGCATCGTAGCGAATCTCATAGGACGCCATCACTGCTAGCGTTCCGCTATGCACCTTGGCTAAGCCTAGAAAGCGGCCAGAGTCGGGCGGCGATGAGCTAGGTGGTCGGTGGACGGGCAGCGGGACGTGTGCCGCCGTGGGGTACGACCCTGCTGCGACGCTGGGGCATACCATTTGGTTTGCGGAGACGCGCATGTCTTGCATCTCGTAAAGGCCCTGACTGCGTACAGGTCATCCGACATTGTCCGTATCTTTCTGTGAAGTAGTCGGCGCGTGATGGGAGAAGGCATACAACGATGACAAGCCGTAAATGGGTCCATGTTATGCCCCTTATAACCCCTTCAGTTTTAACGAAGAGGCTCGTAGTCTGCGACGGTTGGGCTGGAATGCGTCCATGGTTCCAAATCTCAATATTCGAGGATTAGCCGCTACGTCGTAAATCACATTGGGTGTCACTCGGTGTGTGCGCGAATGTTCTTTTTACGGAGAATTAGCATACACTAGGGAGTCCTATCAAAGAGGCCCTCCCTACTACGCATTGACACGTCCTCCTGGGAATTCATAAAAATCCTCTTGTGACCATCGCAACTACGGATTCCAAAGTAAGACCTTCCACAGAAGAACAGACACACAGTTGAACCCTGCCCTTAATTATGAAAGGCTCAGACACAAATCAATGAATCAATAGTTGAATAATTGCCCAGGGCATTCCGCAGGTATTTAGTCTGCTGATCACGACCTGTCGAAGTATACATTTTTAACCCATTCGTGACAATGGCAGCCACCGGTGGCTGACAAAGATCTCACTTGTACAATGGTATCCACCGGTGGCTGCCGTGTTTCAAATGGAATTTGGAAAGTTTTCTTCCTGAAAAGAATCTTCATACCCTCATTCATCTATGCCAGCCTTGGGCACGGGGAATCTCCATCCACTCAAATTTTATTGAAGAAAAATCTCCTGACTCTCCTGCTAATGCGCAAACCGGCGCGGTCGCGAATGGGTTAATGAGATAAGCTTGTGGGGTGTTGTTTTCGCACTGTGATGGAGCTACAGCCTTCAAAAATCTGCCCTAATTTTTGGGCGCATACGCGGACGTTCTTTCTATTTTGAGTACTTCCCTGAGGAGCACTCTTGCACTTTTTCAAGCCGTAATGCCCTAAAACGCAAAATGAAGCCGTCTCAAGCACTTTCTATAAAGGGATGTGTGAAGATTTCAGAGAAATTCAATAAGCCATCGACAAACTTTTGTTGAACGTGAAAAATTCTGCTTACAGTAAACGGACCACGTTTGATCGACACACGACCAACTATCAGGCATGGCGAGAGCAGATGACCGTGTGCGATTTGTTGGCCGAGTACGATGCAGCCGTCAGACCCAGCGGAAGGACTCCATACAACAATTCCAGTACGTTACTCATCTGGTGTTGCTGTTTTTATCACTTCTCCCAAGCAGGTCCAACCGTCCGCTCGCGCGTTTCGAACGAGGGGGTCGCATTTGGGGTTGAAAATAATCGTGTTTGGAAAAGCGAATGAGGGTCGTGTTTGTTGCTTGGGAGGGGCGGAGGGTGGGGAAGATGAAAATTTTGGCAAAAATGTCGCGAATCTGGTGAAAAATAGGCGACCTTGGAAGTTTTCTCGCCGCTTCATTATTCCCATCCACTCCCCTCCCACTTCTTCCAGCACTCGCCCCCGCCCCGTCCGACAGCCGTTTTGGAAAGAACATGCGGGCGGAGTTGGTTTGTGTCGACTGGTCTCAGAATCAAATACTATAAAAACGGTCGTGATGACGGTTGGGGCGGGTCGCTATTTGGTGAGCCTTCTAATTGTAAGGGTGGTGTGGTGGTGGGTCATCGAGACGCGTGATTTGTGAGCAATTTTACTTCTTCCTGGCAATTCCCCCTCTCTTGAGCTCAGTCTCAGTGTCACGTCATTGTGGTTTTCAAAAGCGCTGTTTAAGTGCATCCCCCAAGTCAGGAGCGCCCTTTTCATTTTATCGTACAACCCCTCTAAAGAGATTAGTTTACCCATTTTCAGGAGCACTATACCTGTTTGTGATGAGCATTAGCCTAAAATAAAGATTATTTTGTGGGAAGAAACACAGCTTCCGAGTTTATGGTTTTAATTTGCGCGATTTTGTGGCTTCGAAAATAACAGAACATTGCTCGGAACGATATACGATAGAGAATACAAGAAAAATGAAGAAGCTTCGTTTGCAGAGGGTCCAGTAATTGTCGTGACAAGTCTCAATATCCGCTCGATCTCGGCTGTCTCTGAAAAGAACATGGTGAATTTTTCTGATGTATATTTCATTTCTTCTCTCATTTTTAAATGTGCTGTCACTCTTTTGGAAATTCTCTGGAAAAATATGAAGGGTATTCATTTCCATCATCAGAGGACTGAAATGTGTCGATTCGACTCTGGACGATAGAGCGATTCGCAGATGCGCTTGCGGACGCGTGCGAAGTGGACCCAGCCAATAGCAGGGTGGAAAATCCGGATACGAGGATCCCTCGGAAGGGGGGTCGTACTCTTGAGGGTCAGTAACAGAAGTGGTATCATGGTGCAGATAGGTAATAGGGTATAGCGCAGCAGAAAATGAAAACATCTGAAAAAAACATGATATTAAATTTTCTTTGCAGGTTCAGTCGCTCCATTCCTCCACCTTCATGAGAAGGGCGTATTTGAAGGCAGTACAAAGAATGAAAGTGCATCCCCGCAAAGAAGAGTGCACATGTGCGCACGCGCTGCAAAGGCACCTCCTCTGCCTATCGCTCGCTCCTTCTCCCTTAATACCTCGCTGAGAATGACACTGTTGTTAGGGACCCTGTCGCAAAAACGACAACCGTGAAGGAAAAGCCCTGGGCAAATGAAGTTGTTCTTTAGGTTGTAAGAGTTACGAAATGCGTTTACTACAATGCAGCTTCTGTCAACTGGTCATGATCATATGACACCTTCGAATCGATTCTGCAACTTCGAGCTGCCAACTTCGAGTGAGGTCGGATGCATGGCCTATACTCAGACAAAATTCGATGATGACGATTGCCCCTTTTCCTATTGCTTATGCTGGGAGGATGTTTTCTAGACCCATTTCAAGCGTTGCCAACAATTACACTTGCAATGGTGAAGAAGGGAGCGGATTTTCAGGTGGCCGGATCCGTCCTCGATACATACTCGACGCAGATATCTTCTCAACTAGGAAATGTAGAAGAAAGCTAAGAAGACCATCAGAAAGCGCAAACCTTCCCGCTTTCCAAAACTATCTTCACTTTTTCAGGATCTCACGTTTTAAGAGAGATATTGCTCTTGAAGTGGCAAAAACTCGCGTGAAAATTTCAGCGTCCTCGACGTTTACTCGACGAAATTTGAGAGACCCTATCTTTCTGCATGGAAGGCTTTCAGAGCAATTTCAATACTTCTTGGAAACGCGAAATCCAGCTCTATCTAACCCTACCTCAAACTGCTTCAAAGGTTATGAAATGGAGGAATGCAACCTTTTCATCGAGGGTGTAGATTTCGACGGTTTTTTTCGGGATTTCAGCAAATCTGACCCAGTGACAATCGCGCCGCAGCTGCCGTTGAATCGGCCTTTGATTGACACTCGGCTGTTTCGATATACTCAAGCAGAATCAAGATTGAATCGCAACCCCGTGCCTTCAGGATTTCTGTGCATTTCTGAACGAACCTGACTTTGAGGTCACACAAAGTTAATGCCTCTTTCCTCGAGTCGATATTTCAGTAAATACACAAAAGTGTGCAGCGATGAAAGACGTGCATAGATGACAAGATGAGGCGTCCTTAGCATTATTTTGCAGAATTTTTTTTTGATTTGTTTTGCAGGATTTATTTTAATTGAATTAATTTGCTCTGTTAGAGGGGGTCGTGCCAGGATCTCGATTTCGGGGGGGGGGTCGTACCTCTGCGACCACGTACTCGACACGATTTTCACCCTGGTGCGGCCAAGGGCGCAACGCCCGCGACAGCACGATCACCACCAGCGGTGCTGTATGCGAATTGCGCATTGCAAAGTCTGAGGGCGCACGCATAGTCGGTCGTCCGACAGCAACGATCGCAACTGTCTGACTGTCTAACTGCATCTAATCGTCGAATACTCAGGCAAGTCCGACGATCGATACGCATCCAATGCTGTGCGACAGTTACGATCGTTGCTGTCGTCCGACCGACTATGCGTCCTTGACTCTGCCGTAGGAGACCCTCGCGCGGCGAGAAGGCAGAAACGCATACGACTCAGCGTACGAGTCGCAGCGAGTACTGCAATGATTTCCCGTCAAGCTGACTAGAATGTTCTAACCATAGACGTCGTCCTATTATATAGTACAGTTCGCCCTCACTCTCTCTACCCGTCTGCGTCTCTGCCATCTCGCTCCGCAACTTGCCTGCTGTCGGGCACCAAAAATTTCTAACCATTGTTTTCGGTGATGTCAAAATTTCGGCTCCTGAAAAAACCTGTTCGTAGAAAATAATGACTCTGTTACCAAATTTGGTTCTTGAAATTCAGTTTGGGTTATAGTTATCCAGGGACAATGTCTTGACTCACCATGTACTCTGTATTATTTTGCCAAAATAAAAAAAAAAAACGGCGGAAATTGGTGCAAACCCCTCACACTTTAGAAACCCAACTATATGCTTCGTTTGATTCAGACTCACGTTACTCACGATCAGACAGAGGCTTTTCATTCGTGTTCCTTTGCTCTACGACTACTTAGTTTTTATAACGCCCTCGTTTAGGAATTCGTAGCGCAGTTCCGAATCCGGCAGGAATGGTTCGACGATCGCCTTCGCTTCATGGACCACCAAGTAGGCATTTCATCTCGTCTGGATCAGTGATGAATCTCATGACCACTAACTTAAACACTATTTCGTCGTTTTTCAGGGTCCACTTTCTCCAGAATTTCGTAATTTCGAGTTCATTCATGTGGCCAGAGATCAGCGTCTATGGATTCCGGACACATTTTTCCAAAATGAACGAAACGGGTGGTACCACATGTTGGACCAGGTGAGCTTATGGCTTCTCGCTGTGAAGAGGATCATTACCCGTATGCAAGGGGGGGGCAAAGGTCATTCTCGCTCCACACTTAGAAGGGAATCAGTTACACGTTGCCAAGTTCAAATCAAATGTTCCCGACTAAAACTTGAAGAGCACCTTCCAATGCACCAAAAAATTTATGCCTCGTACACCAACGATATCAAAAGAATTTGCAACGGGGATATGGAGCACGGTTCGTGCTCAGCGAGGTCCTTGGGATCGTGAGTCATTACGGCATTACGACGTCATCTGAGCACTGGTAGGAAGGGTCCTGGCGTAGTCAGAGCAACTGCCTCCAGGGAGCTATACATCACTTTGACGGGTTGGAAGAAATTATGTAGCAGCTTCAGCCTCGAGCAATTAAGGTAGGCCTTTTCGGGCTCGGCGCCGATGGTAGATGACTTCATATTCCGAACGGCAGGAGCAGCGAGGGAAGACGCACTTCTACGCTTTCGCATCCAAGGTATCTTTTGCCATTGAAACCATCAACGGCCGCAACCTGTGCAACTGAAACTTTGCTAATTTGTGCTGCGGGCGAGATAACTTTTTTTTGCGTTCTTCCCGTTCTCCATACCTGTTTTTTGACCCTCCCCTTCTCCTTTACCTCTACTGGGTGGAGGGGGGGGGGGAAGAACA